AGCTGAGTACCAGCATTTGTTGCTCTTTCCTTTCTGGCTGTGTGCAGTGTGACCAGTTAGCTCACACTGGGGTGTCTTCCTCAACATGATGGATTGTGTCATCAAACCATGGACCCAGATAAACCCTTCCCAACTAAAGCTGGTTTTGTCTCGTATTATGTTATGGCAACAAGAAAAATAGAAAAGCATCTCCTTTGAGGGGCAGAGTAGCCTGTGCTGTTCTTGTGCCTTAATTAACTGGAATATTAAATGTTAAGGCCTCTGGGAGAAACTGGAGTGAGGCTCTGCCCATTGCCCTACCCATGATGAGCAGCTCACTGAGTGGCCACAGAAGCTCTGTATCTCTCTAAGAAATCCAAAAGGGAGGAGAGGAGGGAGCCCTTAGCTGGGAGTCCTTGTGCATTCACCAAGTCACTCACCTGCCTAGACTGGTATTGAGACTCTTAATGTATAATGTGTGTTTTTGTACTCCTGACTGGTGTAATGGGAGATCCTTGTATTTTCATCATTTAGCTAGCGTCATCTTTAATACTGAATGTTTGGAGTAACCTTCTCCCTCACCAGCAGCACTGGGAAGTCCTCAGAACTCTGAACATTCTGTTCAAGCATTAGAACTCAGTTTCTTTAGGATGAAGTCATCAGTCAGTTTCAGAGTGCCAGACAGTGTGAACTGTATAAACCATGTATCAGGCCCACCCGTCTTTAGGAAGAACTTTTCCAGAGTTCTTTAGTAACTATTATCACCAGTGTACCCCTGAACCTAGTGCCTCACTCTGTCACTCAACCATACCTTAAAGCCTGTCTGAGTCTCTTAGTGCCTCAGGAGGTGGTCTGTTACATCCTAACCCCAGGGGAGAGTGTGAATCATGAGAGGACACCTGCTTTTGAGATCCCTTTCAGTACGAAGCTCAAAAACCACAGCCTGTTTCTAAAGGAATGGCCTTCCAGGCCTGCAGCAAGCTGAGTTTGAGCAGGACTGGTGGAGATGCAACAGACATTGTGGAGCAAACTTTTGCTAGATGCTGGACTGTCTTAGTGTTTTAGTTTTGTTTTCTCTCCCTCCTTGCATCTACCACTGTGACAGTTATCCGAGCAAACATTGTAATGGGAATAAGTGTTCATTTTGGCTCAGGGTTTCTGTTCATGGCTATGGCTCCATTGTTTCTGGTCCTGTGGTAAGGCAGAGCATCACAGCAGAAGGGTGTGGTGGAACAAAGCTGCTCATCTCCATAGAGTCTGAGAAGCAGAGAGAGAAAGGGGCCAGGGCATGTTCCCAGTGACCTTCTTCCAAGTAGGACCCACCTCCCAGTGATGCCATTATGTTCTCAATCTTACACAGCAAAACAGTTTTGGGGGAAGTAATGCTTTGATGTCATCAGAGTTTTCTTAGTTCTCTTATCAGCTGAGTAACAAACTTTCAATACAAGAGCCGTTGGAGGATACTGTACTATACCCAACCACAGCAGGTGTTGGACCAGTGCTTTCTGGATACTCAGCTTCCTGCCTGCAAAGTGTATAGGGGTTCTGAGGAACAAGAAACCTGCTTAAAGCTCAGCATAGACTACCTGCTGGTACTGAGAGGTGTGCAGCACATGCAGCCCCATGTTCTTACCATGTACTCCCAGGTAGAACAAAAGACTCATACCTGGCTAAAGCAGCCTTGCTATATTTGACACAAACATGGCCACCTCTAGAAAAAGAGCCTTCTTTGGGAGCATAATTTAGCCATTACTTTGTGACTGAACACCTGTGTGACATCAGACAGCTCTTCTAGTTCCTTCCTTGATGGTCTTTGACTATCTATAGGGTTGAGTGTGGTTCGTTTTGGATGCAACCTACCTGTTCTTCTTGGTAGCTGGTTCTCACCCAGAAGGGAAGGCTCTTCGATTAGGGTCCATACTAGAAGAGAGAGCCAGAGTTTTGTGCTGGAAACCCTGTTCTCTTGGGGTATGGTTATGTCCTGTGCCCTTTCCTTTTACCTTAGAGCTGTTTCTCTGCAGCTCTCAGTATCCTCAGTAACACGTCTCTCTATGTAGTCCTGGTTGTCCTGGAACTTACTATGAAGATAGTAAGTCAAATTCACAGAAATCCTCCTGCCTCTACATCCTGGGCACTAGGATTAAGAGTGTGTGCCAGGCTAAGAACTCACGTCTTGATCCACAACCAAAGGAGTAGGGAGACCTGAGAATCCCAGAAGTCTTTTGAAACCTCAAAAGTCTACCACTAGTAAAACACCTTCAACAAGGCCACACCCAATCCTTCCCAAACAGTTCCACCAACTGGCAACCAAGTGTTCAAACATGTAGCTTATGGAGGCTGTACAAATTCAAACCACCACACTCTTTTTGTCTTACATAAATATGTTGCTTTATTTTTATAAATAAGCTTATCATGTATGAATATGTAACGTCCTAGTTTTTTTTTAAGTGTATTGGTGTTTTGCCTACGTGTGATATTTGTGCATCACATGCATTCCTAGTATCTTTGGAGGCCAGAAGTAGGTGTTGGATCCTCTGGAGCTGGAGTTACAGACAGTTATGAGCTGCCATGTGGGTGCTGGGAGTCAAACCCAGGTCCTCTTGAAGAATAGCCAGTGCTCTTAACCACTGAGGCAACTTTCCAGCCCACATCCTTAGATTTTAGTTCAGTAAGTATCAATAATTACCTGTTTTATTTCACTTACAGCACAAAAGGCAAAGCCTTTCTTCTGTGTGCATTTAACTAACCTTAACATCTAGTCCTTTATTTAGCTCCCATTCTAGCCTAGACTACAATTATTTATGTACTGAACATTTATGATTGAACAGGGTCTTACTATGTTGCCTAGCCTAACCTTGAATCTCTGGACCAGGGAGTCCTTCTGCTTTAGTTTTCTGAGAAGCTTGGGGTTAGACACATAGTATCACATGCAGCTATATTTTTGAATTTTATTTAAGAGAATTGAGGTGTAGCCCATGATCTGTTTGTATCCCTGACATTGGTCCATTCTTGAGATTTAGTGTCTCTCTCTCTCTCTCTCTCTCTCTCTCTCTCTCTCTCTCTCTCTCTCTCTCTCTCTCTCTCGCAGGATTTCTCTGTGTAACAGTCCTGGCTTAGAACTCAGTTTTGTAGACCAGGCTAGCCTTGAACTCACAGAGATCCATCTGCTTCTGTTGCCTGGGTGCTGGGATTAAAGATGTGTGCCACCATATCCAGCTTGAAACTTAGAATCTTATTTGAATCTTATTTATTGGATGAATAAATGAGACTTGCCAACAATAGTTGATAATGAATGAGAGCCACCAACAATGCTACAGAATGCTCCTGTGTGATCCTGAATCCTGAGCACTGATTCTGTCACTTAAATGACATCACCAATTACAGATTTCTAGAGATGAGATTTGTGTTGACCCATTTTGACCACCCATATACAGGAGGCCCTGTTGCCCATACCTTTGAGCCAACTGCCTGTGAAATCTTGGCAGTTTGCCCTGCGTTATGTGGAGAGACTCTTGTTCTCTTGTTCTTCATGTGTATTTTAGAAAAGGAGAAAGGATGCAGATTAAAGCAGTAAACATTCACTTCCAGGAGCTAGAAGGAATAAAAACTGAAGCCAGAGGTAATGGCAGATACTTAGTTTTCATTTTGTGCTGGGGTTGAACCCAGGGCTTTATACTTGCTGAGCCAGCATTCTCCACTTGAGCCTCACTCTTCCTCATTGGTGAAGTGTTGAAAGCTTGGTCTTTGGAAGTCCCCTGGTGTACTAAGGCAAGAAAAAGAAAAGTCATAGGAGGAGATAAGCTGTGACTGTGGGACTGTGATGTGTAGATATAGTCTCTATATATGATATATGTGGATATACATATGTGTGGATATAGTCTCTATGATATATGTGTCTATGTATATGATGTATTGATAGTAAATGCAAAGTGGCTGGATTTATGATGTGTATAGAAAACCATTTTCTGCTGTGCCTGGTGGCACATGCCTTTAATCCGGAGATAGGTAGATCTCTGTGTTTCTTCTTAAGGCCAGCCTTGATGCACAGCAGATAGGTGTGTGCATGAAGAGCATATAAGCTTCCTGGCAGGAGGTGGCCACCAGTCCTTCCCTGAGTAAGGGAAGTTGACAGCCTCAGAGAAAACACTTTTCCCAGAAACAATAACTAACAACAACAAAAAACAACAACAGCAAAAACATGTTCTATTCCCTAGTGTTTCTTACTGTCTTTTGGGAGCTTACTGGATGGACACTTTTAGAGTGTCAGGTGTGTGCCAAGTAACTCTTATTTGTCCTTGCTAACTATATTAGTCAGGCTTCTCTAGAGGAACAGAACTGATAGGATTTTTTAGAGTGGCTTACAGGCTCTGGTCTAGCTAGCTAGTCTAACAATAGTATCTCCCAGTGGCAAGTCCAGTAGCAGTTGGGTCCATGAGGCTGGGTGTCTCGGCTGGTCTTTACACACCAGAATCCTGAAGAAGTAGTCTCTGATGCCAGTGAAGGAATGGACTTGCCAGTGAGAGCAATGGCATGCAGGCAAGGAGCAAAAGCCTCCTTCCAAGTCCTTTATATAGCCAAGGATGTGGCTGTGGATTAAAGGTGGATCTTCCACTTCAAAAGATCAGGATTAAAGGTAGGTCTTTCTCTTTGAATGATTTAATTTAGAAAAAAATCCCTCCTAGGTGCACCCAGTCCTTTTGGTTTTAGTTAATTCCAGATGTAGTCAAGTTGACAACCAAGTAACTAACTTCATACAATGTGAGTAATGCGCCCTGATCTTTATTTGACTAAGGCTGGCTCTCAGAAGAGCTTCTGTGGTGTCTGTCACTGGTAACACTGTAGTCAGTTGAGTTCCTGAGGCATATCTGGGAGGTACTTGAACTGAGACTTGAGTGGTGGGACAGGTGGGATAGGGTAGGAGATACCAATATGCTGAGGTAGGTGCCATGCATTGAATAGCGGTACCTTGCTTTTTGTCCTGGAATGGGGAAGCCACAACTGTCTGTGTTTTTCTTTCATAGGTCTGTCTACAGGTTTTGAGCATCTGAAGTGAATCCCTGAACCAGAGTGTCTGCTGCCATCCCCTCATCCTCTGCAGAAATGTCTGTCACCTACGACGATTCTGTGGGAGTGGAAGTGTCCAGTGACAGCTTCTGGGAGGTAATGTCTCCTCTTTTGAACATAGATCCCAGGTTGCTGGCGTCCAGTGTACCTTTGTGGTTTTGGTAGAGTCAGAAGGAAATGAACATTAACTCAAAATCAGGCGGGAACTTGCCATCAAATTGGTGGTGGCAGAGACAGGGCATTGATTTTTTTTTTTTTTTTTTAGGGATTACGGGAATGCTCCAGCTCTCAGTGGAGTTGGGAGTTCACTTGTCTGGAAAAGTCCGATTTTTCACTGAGATGTGTTTGTGGAAGGTCTTGCTGGTTTGCCCTCCAATGTTCTTGGGTGTCTAGCCCTGTGTGATAGACAACAACACACAGCAGTGACCAGTCTCACAGGCAGCTTTTACATATGAGTGACCATGATGTGACATTATTTTGCATAATGCAGGCCAGCAGCCAGAGGGCTGAACAAAGGGCCAGGATCTTGGTAAGAACATCTGCCTGCCAGCCTGTGTCCTGGGAACTCCCTTCCTGATGAAATTACCTTGTGACCCATTTTGTTTTCGCAAGTTATTCTCCCCAGCCCACTTAATTTTTCCTGTCTACTAGTTAAAGAAAAGCCAACTGTATTCTCATTGTTGTTGTTAGTGGTGGTACTAGGGATGGAACACAACAAATACCTCATGCATACTAGGCAGGGGTCCTAACACTGAGTTTCCATTCCAGCCAAGGAAGTAAAGTCTTGACCGTAATTAACCCCCCTTGGAAAAACCCTTGGAACTTTCTTTTCATTTTGGGCTACGTGGACAGGGTGAGGAGGACTGGGCTTTCAGCTAAGTATCATGTCAGCTCTGACCCCAGCTGTGCTGTCACTAGCTATGTGACTTTGGACAAGTTGTCCACTTTACCCAAGCCTCAGAATAAAAGGGGGCTAACTCTGGCCCCCAAGAGAGGCTGCCAGATGGGGCTATAGTCTTTAGCACTGTGTGGGTGCCTTCTTGACAGGAAGCTCCAGAGGAGGAGAAGGTGAGTATGCAGTCCTGGTGTTTGCTGGGGCTAACATGTCATCTGCTGTTACAGGCTAATGGAAACAAGACATCACTAATGCTCCGGTTTTAAAAGATAGAGGACTCAAACTTCACTAGCACTTTTCTTTTCTGTGTTCTGAATGACAGAACTGATTGGCTAAATATTTTATTTTATTAAAAGTACCTACTTAGCTAGATGCAGTGGTTATATGCCCATAGTCCCTAGCACTGGGAAGCCTGAGGCCAGAGGATTGCTTCAGCTCACGAGTGGGATACCAGGCTGGACCACTCAGCAAAATCCTGGCCCCAGAACAAAATAGAACAGAGTATGCATTACTGAACAGATTGTGTATGAGATCCTGTGAGGATATGGCAGGGCATGTAGAGAACAAGTCTTGGGACTTAAGGGGTTGCTGCTATAGGTGCCGAGTGAGTGGAAGAGAAGGAGCAGGCATGATCTTCCCAGACTAGCTGGCCACAGCTATCTAGTAAGAATGGAGGCTGGAATTGGAATCTGGATGGCAAGAGACACCTCTGCCCTGGAAACTTTTAAGGCAGCAAGGGCCATAGGGACAGATATGTTGCCAGCTGCTCAACAGCAGGGTATATTGGAAAGGTTGGAAGCTGCTTTAGAGCTGTGGCTATAGACATCATCTGGAGCAAGACTGGACTTGCCCTCTGCCCCTGCAGATACAGGTGTGTGCGTAGGCAGACCCCTCTTGCTGGACCACAGAGAAGCTATGACCCCACTAGTGTCACAAAAGCACCTATGAAGCTGTGTTGTCTGTGCCTCTGTGTGTTCTGTGCTGGGTTGCAGTCACAGCCCATTACGCATGTACCCAGAAACAGTTAGGATCTCTGTGCTTTTCTACAGCCATGGCAAACTCCCATAGAACATTTAGAAATCATGAATGACTCCCCAAGCCTTGCTTTCAGTCCTCACAGCTGTCTCCCTGGAGTGAGCTCTGCTTACAGTCTCAAATGGGCTGGGTGATGGTGGCGCATGCCTTTAATCCCAGCACTCGGGCTGCAGAGGCAGGTGGGGGTCTCTGTGAGTTCAAGGCCAGCCTGGTCTGGAAGAGCTAGTTTCAGGATAGGCTCCAAAACTACACAGAGAAACCCTGTCCCCCAAAGCCAATAGATGTTAGATAGATAGATAGATAGATAGATAGATAGATAGATAGACAGACAGACAGACAGACAGACAGACAGACAGATTTCAAATGGGTAGAAAAACAAGCTCCAAGACCTGCCCTGCTTGTGGCTTCCTGGAACTCTGCCCCGAAGAGCCTTGTTTTTCTGCACTCTGAGGTGTTGATGCTTTCCTGTGAAGATGAAAATAACAAGGATAGTTCTTGTCACAGAGCTCTTGGTCCCACATTAGTGATGGCAGTACTCTTGTGCCAGCTCCTAGCACACCTGCCACACCTGTTGGCGCCTTTTGTTCTGTAACCTAGCAGAGTCAGAGTGACTCTGTTTAGCTAGTGTTCCCAGCACCTAGCACTGGGCATAGTGCATGGAGAGACTTTGTAGTTGAGGGCCTGATAGTAAGATAAATGGCTGAGGGTCTTCCAAGAGTTATCATTCTGCAGAACCTGGCACATCCTCTATAGGAACTTGAGTTTGGTAGCTGAGCACTGGCTGTTTTCAGCAATCTGGTGCTGGTTTTTAGATCTCTGGCTATTCCACATGCTTAGTAGACGTGATCGGGTAGGATAATTGCAGCTGCTTCCAATTCTGTTTACTTCCCCCTCAAGAAGACTGCAGGGTGCTATCTGGGTAGTGTGTTTGGCTGGGTGCCACCTGATGAAACTGTCTCATTTTAGTCCCAGGACCAGGTGTGCTCTACATACCATCCATACCATTATCATCCCATGCACTCACTCATTGCTGATGTCAGAGCAATCCAGTCATGCAATCAAATGCAGAATTTAATGTACATGGTCATAGATCATGATGCCCAGTCAGTGGTAGCGTTTCTGTGATTACAACAGTGTACCAGTGCCGGGTGCTTCCTCACTGTTGGTGCTGTCTGGTGTGCCCAGGGTACCTGGATCCCTAGGGTCACAGGGCTCTTCACCGGTAGGGCCAGGGCCTCCCAAGCCATTGTTTCTCTGCATTCCCTGGTCCTCAGCTGCACACGTGAGCATTGCACACACACAGATGGGGGAAGTAGACTCCATCTTGTTGCTGACAAGTCTCTTCATTGTCTAGACACAGTTCCCAGTGCCAGACAGCTACTGGGGGATGGGAGGGCTGTCCCTCAGTTGCTTGTCAAGAAGCTTATCTACCTTTTGTGTTTTTCTTTGGATTTCAGTCACCTGTTTAAGCTGTTGGGGGCACCTTTTTTTTTTTTTTCACATGGAAACTTTAGAATTTCAGTGGTCTTTGGTATTGATTCCTCATAGCATCCTGGCTCCATGGGACTTTGAGGACAAATATTGGTTTGGGCTGGCAGAGCGGGAAGGTAGCTGGGTGGCCAGGTATAGCCTGAGAGAGGGCAGGCAGTGAGAACTATAAACCAGGCTTGGACATGAGGGACCAGGGCCAGAATGGATCACAATCAGGGTTGGGGTAAAGGGACTGGGAGTAAGAGTTCCTAAAGGGACTACTAACCCCACTTTTCAGTCTGTTGATTTCCTTCAGGGTGCTTGGCTTTTTATGACAGGTTGACCCATTTCCACATGTCTCTTGACTTGGATCCCAGGGGTCACAGAACTTTCAGGGTGTCTGTCCCTCCTACACTGGAGTGGTTCTGGTCTTCCATGAGAACTTAATACCAGGAAGAGGCTCTCACTGTGCAGCCTGTGGCAACAGCTGTCACATACTCTTGTCATTTTCTAGGCTGTGTGCTGAAGGATGAGTGAGGGCTCACACTTCTATATGTGGAAGCCTGGAGTTCAAGGAGGGGCCTTGGGAGCAGGGCCTGCAAATCTGGTCCATGTTATGGGCACAGATGCCTGCCTTCCTCCACTGTACGATACATACCACACGCACCAAGGACATGGTGTGCCGCAAACTTTGCCAGCAGCCTTGTGGAGAAACTCAGTTAATAAAAGGTTCATTGGGGCTGAAATTCAGTGGTTAAGAGCACTGGCTCTTCTTCCAAAGGACTCAAGTTCAGTTTCCAGTACCCACTCTGAGTAACCGTCTGTAACTCTTGACTCCAGGAATCCAGTGCCCTTTTCTGGCCTCTGTAGGCACATGCGCACACACACTAGTAGATGCACATATACAACCCTCCCTCACTAAATAAATAATAAATGTAAAGAACTTTTTAAATAGGTTTATTTAAACGCATCTTTCCTCCCTGTTATTTCATGTGTTCTGATTTTAGAGTTAGGATCTGGCAACTAGAATTAAGAGGGTTCCACTTTATCCATTTTTAAGTTTGTCAGTTTGAACATTTGATTTAAGATTGATAATTCAGTTATCTTTTTGTTTTGTTTGATTTTGGTTTTTTGAGACAGGGTTTCTCTGTGTAGCTTTGGAGCCTGTCCTGGAACTCACTCTGTAGACCTGACTGGCAACTCATAGAGATCTGCCTGCCTCTGCCTCCTGAGTGCTGGGATTAAAGGCATATGCCACCACTGCCTGGCAAAGTTGTTCTCTCATGTTTTGTATAAACAATCAGAGCAAGTGATGCCTTTACTGGGCAATGAACCCAATTTCCTTCCCTTTCCTTTGCTAGGCAGTGAACTCTGTTTCCTTTCCTTTGTTGGGTAGCAAACCCCATTGTCTTCCCCTTCCTTTGAAGACCAATTCTAGAAACAGGATGGCAGCAGTCAATGTATGGCTGTTACCAAATACTGGGATCTGGGACAGAAGTGAAGTCTTAGACTTTGTTATGCTGGGACAGAAACTGCCTGTTTATAAAGCAGTAGAGGCACCAGCAGACCCAGGCATAAGCTTCAGCCTTGGGCTGTCTTAGGGCTCTGCAGGCAAGGAACATCATCCCATGCAGATAGGGAACCCAGTGAGGTATGACACAGGCCAGTGGTTCAGGAAAACATCCTACCAAGGTGC